AAGCTCAGACAAATCATGTCTTTATGATTGCTATTCTGTCATTTTTCTCCACATCCCTCCAAGGATGTACTTATAAAGAGAAATAAAGCCCTAATAATATGAGACAGCTTCTTGGGTTTCATTTACCCAGACAGCCAATTCCAATTGTATGACATGTCCAGTCTGTCCACCTTAATACAGAGACACAGTCACAACTGAATTCACACATGAAGAAAAACAAACCCAAAAAGTTTCAGTGTGACCAACAGACCAGTTTGATCAAAGACAACTGATATAAACTGATATAAACTCTCACATTTCTTATCACATGGCTGTCACTAGCGCTGCAACAAATATTCAATAATATTGAATTAATTTGATAATTAAAATATCTGTGAAGTCATTCAAATAACCAACATGTTCACTACTTTTATGAAACATGTGGAAACAAGTTGTTTATCAAGCACATAGTTGACAGCTCTGCACACTGGAAACATTGAAGATGTGGCACATAACGTTCACAACTACCTGATTCAATGTGGCAGTATCAGTCTAAATAAGCTTCCTACTGCTTCAGAGCTAACATGCTCTAGCTAGCATATTCTCAGTTGTATGTAATACCAAGAAGAAATGAGTGTGCACTGGCTAGTTCTCCACAAAGAAATGTACTGAGACGACCCTGGGCAGTCTCAAAGTCACCCGTGTGCAGTGCATGCTCTGGTAGTAAGCAGTTTTGACCAGCTTAAATACCTTGATCATGAGCTCTTCACTGAAAAGAGTTGACCAAATGGTTGTTTTCACTTTTAAGACGATTAAAAAAAGATGCTGCCACCTCTGCTTTCTTTCTTTTCCTGCACTGGGCATCATTCACATTCTCAGCAACCTGTTCAGGGATGTCAGACTGGGCAGGATCCCCAGGTTAGCATCTCAACACAACCCACTATGCTTGCAATTAGATATTTTCCCCAAATCATTCAGCCCTCCCTGCAGACTGGTTACTGAATTGGAGATGAATGAATAATGAGAGAGTGCACACTTATTCAGTGAGTGTAGGGGAGTCCCATACACACACACACACACACACACAACCAGAAACTCACAAACCAGAATGGAGGAAATGAAAAAGTTCTGAATGAACACTGCAGGATGTGGATGTCTGTGGTCTCAGAGGAGTTCCGCTAATCTGCCGCAGCCATAATTCAAAAACAGACACACTGTTGCACTCACACTAATGTTTCCCGTTCTCTCACACACTCTCTGCTCACAATCACCTTAAAGAAAGCAGAACTGTGGGTCCATGAAGAAAGAAAGAAGTCATTCAGTGCTTGTTCTGTCAATTCATATCTGGTTTGTTTACTTTTCTGAGCGCTGCCAGGAAGAGACAGAATATTGTTTATTTACATACAACATAAGGCACAACATAGGCTAATGCCCTATGTATTCCCATTAAGAACCAACATCAGCCAAAGTAGAAAAGAACACAAATAGATCGAATTACAACTGATCATTTGCAAAATTATGACTGATGCCTCTCAACTGCTTGCAATTATCTCTAAATGCTACTTCCTCAGTAAAGAACAGCAGTGAGAATGGCAGTAGTAGTAAATTAGTCTGAATTATTAGGCTAAGAAATGGTGGAAAGATGTGACTGAGGAACGTATGTCTGATGCACACCACCCCGATCATCTAGAGGATGGTGTTGCTTTTATTTCATTCGAGAAAAAGTTTTGGATTCTAAGTCTAAGGTAGGGCTGGGCAAAATGACGTTAAAAAATAAAAAAATATTATAGAATGACGTTAGATGTTAGCTTTTCTTAACATAGCTGCTGACACTTAGCAGCCAAATTACACAACAATGTGCAGTGCTCGCATGTGTGATAATCATTTAGTGTAAAGATAAATAATAATGCACTCGTATACATGGCATTATTGGTACTGTTTCATTACAGTTTGCTAAAAGACTGTGTGAAAGACTAAGGTCTCCTCAGCACTGACTAGTTCCAGTGATAGCTTTAGCATTAGCTCATCTGAAGGGGTGTCCTCCATCACAAACATCCTTTTATTAGACATGTTGAGTTCCTTGGTTTTATGATGTAAATATGGCTTCAAGAAACCATTTTTTGTTTGCTTTAAATTAGCCAGCATGCATTTTTTTAGTTTTTAAACATGTATATGTGCACTGAAGCCAGTTTCTTTAAATACAAAACATTAAACATATTCGTCTGTGTGCTTCTAAATTTTCCTTTGTAGAACCAATAGCAGGTATGACTTTTTTAAATTTTGCAAACAGAAAATGATCTGAAATTAAATCACAACTGCTGCCAATTAATAACCTCCCATCACCTCCACCAGCCACCAAACTTCACATTAACATCGCCCTGTATCACTTCAAGCCATTAAGACGACTTGGCCAACTTTCCATTATTGATGGAGCTCTTGTACAGGACTTGCAACAAACTGATCAAAAACAAACAGAATGATTAACTAAGTGCTTTGGTTAGATCAGTAATGTGTCAATGCTCTTTTATTTGTTGACAAATAACTAAAGTAATTTAACTAAAGTTTAGGTTCACCTGACACAAAAGACACAGGAGCCTAACGATGGGTCAAGTGAGGTTTGAGTTACAATTAAACAAACCACTTCCCATCAAGCTTTATCATTTAAATGTTTTTACCATCCGAACATGCCAGGCGGAAATAACACACACAGCTTAAGACACGTTTTATCAGCATTTCCTTATTAGCTAACAGATACTTTATCACTGTTTAGACAGTTTTTTCCATTCTCTAACTTACAGATAAAGCCACATCTACACATCTTATAATAAACAACAAGTTTCTTAGCAACTGCCCGGGCAGATTTCTTGAGACCCCCAGCCGGTTTATGGGTTTATTCTGCTCAAGTTCAGCTCAGCCAGCTAAGCAAACTTGGGCTGGAGAGTGCTTATCTGTCCCTGTTGAGTTAGGAGCTGGAAAATAACTGAAATGGGAACTCTAAGGATTAGAAACTCATGGTAAAGGTCTCCAAACTCTGGACTTTCAAGTGCTGGATTTTGTAATCATTCAACTGCTGATGTAATTGATTAAGGTAACTAAGCATCATACCTACCAATAATCACTTATATAATATACACTGTGGCCCCAGCAAGTATTTGGACACTTTAACCATCAGTAAACTTTAAAGTTTTTCATGTTTAACAAAATGATATTTGTTTGAAAGAAAAATACTTTTAGTACAGCATTAAACTGATGGTAGATTTTGTGTGGAGAATGCCTGGAGAAGCATTTCAACCAGACTGCACTAAGAGTACCATAAAGCACAGAGGTGGAAACTTCAAAGTCTGGGCCAAGCTGTTGTTTATTGATTGAATCATAAACTCAAAGGCATATACAAAGGCGTTTTGGATGCAAACCTGCAGAGGTCTGCAAAGATATTACTCAAATGATAACAGATACCTCTTAAAAGTAAAAGAAAATGAAAGTCTATTTAAAATAGCCATATCACCTGTAAAATGACACAACAATGAACTTTGTTGATTTTCTAAGTGAAAATAAATTAACACATCCTATAAACGGAACAAATCTACAATTTCTTTTTTTTCTTTTTGCTGAATTTAATATATTGAAAAAATGTGTTCTCTGTAAAGAAGAGAACTTATTTTAGAAAAGATGTCATCTGACCAGGGGTGCCCAAACGTCTCCATACGACTTTGAGTGCCATTTGGTTTCCTAACACAAAGAGCTTAATACATTTCATAGCAAGGCTCACCAACCTTACCTGCAAAGGGCCAATGTGGCTGCAGGTTTTCCTTTCAACTCAGCAGAGCACACCTCATACAACTAATCAATGGTTTAAAGACTGGGACCAACTGATTAAACCAGACTTCTTGACTGGACTGAAAACCTGCAGCAAAACCAGCCCAGTCTGGGAAGTCTAGGGATAAGATTGGTGACCATTGTTTTAAAGCAGGGGTGGGGGATTGCAGTCCTGGAGGGCCGGGTTCCTGCACAGGTTGGTGATCTTCCTGCTCAAGCACACCTGATTCAACTCCTCAGCTATTTATCAGGTTAGGTTGGTGTGCAAGAGCAGGAAAACCGAACTGTGCTGGACTCAGGCCCTCAGTTCCCCACCCCTGTTTTAAAGTATGACACAAATGTCCCTTGGGGTCACTGTGTATACAAACACACTTCAATCAGCAGCAGATCAAGGCAGCATCGTAAAACACGTCAGTCTCCACAGCATCCGAAAGCTTGTCACATTGCTGTCAGCTCTGTCTGTCCTGGTTTTAGTTTATCAGTGCTGCTGGCTGGCAGGCTGTAACCCAGCAGTGTTTTGCAGCGACGCAACCACAATAATGGCTGACGAGACGAGCCTTCTAACCCTGTTTGTTGTTGTTGTCGGTGCTTTAATTGGCGAGGGACACGATGCCCGAGTAAGCACGGATATAAACACTGTCATGAATGCAAAGAGTCACACATGTACGCGCACCAGCTACTGCCTGTCTGAGCCGCCAATGCATGCAGACTCATTTAAGCTGATGATACTTTATCTGGGAATAGGAGAGAATCTCCAATGTTGTTGTTTCATGCTCGTTTTAGCCTGACAGAGTGATAGTCATGAGTCGTTTCGTATGTTGTCGTTTAAACAGAGCTTAAAGTTTAAGCATAACATTTGTAAAAATGTCTAACTGTAGTAAAATCACCGAGCCGCTGGAATTCAAAGCGCTCGGGGCTGTTTGTTTATGGAGGACGGGGCTGTGTTAGCGCACATACAAGGCCGTAAAGCAGCAAATTGCACCTTCTCCTGATTCTAATAACTCGCAGCCTCCACGCCGCAGCATCCAGCCCGCCCCGCACCGCCTCAGCGTGGGTTTAGCTGTGAGGGAGGCGGCCGGTTACCGGTTAGCGGTTAAGAGACAGCCCGCTCCGCTCACTGACAACCACACAGTCAGCCGAGCAGAGCATAACAGAGGAGAGCAGAGGAGCCAGCCGCCCTCTGTTTACAACCCAGCTATGTTTACCTGGCGCCGGCGTTGGTGGGGCAAACCCCCCCGCCGCAGCTCTCCTGACTGATGGCGTGAGTGCGGGGTCTTCCTCAGCCCGCTGGCTCACCACCCGGCGCGGTGAGAGCAGCCTCGGGCCGCCCGCACTGTGACAACGGCACTGGCCAAAACAACACACAGCGGCGGCAGCTCCTCACCCCGCCGTCGGTTCGTCCGCCGCAGCTCCGAGCTCCTCACGCCACCGCTGCTCGTTGTTGACTTTCAGGCGTCTCAGTGACGTCACGCGTCCGCCGTCACTCCCGCGCGGACTCCCTCGCCGCTCAGCGCCGTAGGCTCGACCAGACCAGGTTCTCGCGAGAACTCCGGTCTGGCTGGTTAGAGACGTGGCTATGGCTCCTCTGCTCGACGCTGACATTAACAACACCTGACCTGAAGCTTATTTTTGCGAAAATACTGTAAACCCTGTGCTCTGTCCCCCTAAAAATATGATGAATGAAATGACCTGCGTTGTCATATTTTGCTTAATATGTTTTATTAATTCCCCCCCACTATAATCTTTCAGTAATCTTATGTGGAAAGCAATGTGGCCTGTCTGATGTGCTGTTGAGTCCTAAATTCATAGGTCATGTACAGAATTTGTCGTGTATTTATGGTTTCTGGACTACATAGAGGATCTAGTCTCCACAGTAGGAATACTGTAAGCCACATATGCTAGACCTTTAGCAGCATGTAGGCTAAGTAACACATGCTTTTTACAGATCTCATTAAATCCACTTAGATATGCTTAAGTGATTTAGACTGCCTCTTTTGTCTAGTGCCATCTAAGTTCAATTGCCCCATGCTCTTTCCAAATCTGATCCATTCATCAAATTGGTAGCCTAACTTCACTAATGCAAGTCACTAACCACAGTTTGGGCACAATTAAGGCAAAAATGATTCTTCTTCTTCTTATTATTATTATTATTATTATTATTATTATTATTGTTGTTGTTGTTGTTATTATTATAAATATATAATATATAAATTATATAATATACATTGTAAATACATTATTACACTACACTATGTGTTCAATAGGTTGATGAGTCAAATTTTGTAACAGTTATAATATTTCAGCTGGTTGTCCTTGTCTGGTCAAATTTGCATGTTAGAGGATGAAGAAATGGATGAAGGATGAAGAGGATGAAGAAATGTTCCTTGTAATGGATTTGAAAACATATAAACAAGCATACCTTCTCTTTTTATAACACTTTTTGTACCAGTGACCTAAATAGCATTCAGAGCACTTTTAAGCAGTGATTTGCTGCAGAGCTTTAAGGGTTGTGATGGGTACGGCACACTGTTTTTGTCCGTAACATATTTCCTGTCAGTCCATCCACTGGGAAAATTGCACTACATATTCCAGTGTTCAGAGGAGGAACTGCAGGAGATGAATGGAGGCAGGCTGCAGTGTTTCAGGCCGCTTTCAGCTTATTATACTCAAAGCAGATTTAGTTTTCATCTTTAAAAGATCAGATTTGTATGTTTAGACAAGCTATTTGTATGTGCTCCCTTTCCTGAGGCTGCATCCGTTTCTGTGTCATTTTCCCCATTTAATTAGAAAGAAAAATATCAGATATTTGTCAAGTATATAAAAACAAACTGTCCTGATTTGTAAACTTCTGTCCTCATATATAAAAAAAACGTAAATCCAAAGGTCTTTGAAATATTTTAAGTACTTGGTATTTTCTCCTTTTGTTTTAATGACAGTATGCACTCTAGTATGGCAAGCTGTTTAAACCTAAAATGACACCAGTGATACATCATAACTCTATTTTTACAAGTAAAAGCATAATTCCAACTGTTCAACATATAATTCTAACTAGTAAGAACAAGAATTATAGATTTTTGAATTGAATTACAGATCTTTTTATGTAATTACAGATATGAACATATATCTTTTTTTACTAATCACAATAAAAATTATAGATCTCCATAAATTAAATACTAGTTAGCCTTTTAATTTTTTTAATTTGTTGGCTGCAGGCGATATAGATTTTAACCTGAACTAGGCCATAAAATAGACTTTGAATAGGCCAAGTTTACACTTAAGCTGGAAGAAGAAAAGCAACCTATTTGCAATAACTGGGCTCAGAAGTAACCTGCTGTTTATTTATACTGGCACATGCATCAGGTCAGATCACAAGTTAACCTACTTTTAAAACTATATGGTGCAATACAGCTAGATCTGAAATAAAACCTAGATCAGGAAATCTCAAAATAAACTCTGCTTTATTTCCAACCCACCATAATAATATCATGGCCAATAAAGCTACTTGGTGCACGTGTTAGCTTCTTAAACTGTTGATAATTGTTGATAATTTAATTACTCCTCTAGTTGTTGAAATATTGTCAGTGTTCCTGGAGCACTCCTGTCACTCCCTTATTATTGTGACCACATTCAGTAGTCTGTTGAGTCAGATTCTTCCTCTACCCTTCATTCCTCTCCTTCTCGACTGCCTTCCATCTTGTGCCCTGCACTGATTTGCTGCACACATACCACCCTTTCCCGCCTAATGTCACTCTCATATATATGCTTGAAATGCAAACCTTAAAGTTGTTTATGTATTTATTAAACCATTGGGAAGATCTGAAACATCATTTTGACTAGCATGAATAAGAATTGTAGATCTCTTAAACTGGCAGTCCTAGCAGTCATTGGGCTCCAGCAACCCCACAACCCAGAAGGATAAGTGGCTTTAATAATGTGTGTGTGTGTGTGATCTCTTTAACTATGTTTTAAATCTCAATAACTTCACTAAAGATCTGAGTAGGGTTAGCTTCAATTTTTTTATATGTTATTTTTAATTGTAGATCATTCTAATTTAATTCATACTAGTCAAATTGTAATTAGATATCTTTTTCTTATATATACATAGTTTAAAAGTAGTTATTACTAGTCAAAACTGCATTCTGACTAGCTATAATTTTACTTTTAGATATCAATAATATTGTTTTTACTAGTCAAAAGAGAATTTTAGATGCATATTGTAACTAGTCATAACTAAATTAAAGATATCTTGAGTTAGTATTTTTACTAGTTAAAATTCAATTATGGAAATGTGGACCTGGATTTTTACTAGTCATAATAAAAGTGTAAATATCTGTAATTAGAATTGCTAGTAGAATAAATTTAATCATAGATGTCTGTAGTTGCATTTTCTTACTAGTAAAAATGTAATTATAGATGAGACAGAAGGAATTCCATGTCAATCAATGGTAACAAGTAAAAATGAAATTATGGATATGTCATTCTGGAAACATAACTAGTCAAAATAGCTTTATGGATATGTATATGTTGTATGCAAAAGTTGAACATATCAACTTAAATACAGCAGTTGTCTGCAAATTTTAGTATTAATATTAAATATGTATTAAATAAATATTTATAATTCTATTTCTTTAAAAATATGTGACATAACATTAAATATATAATATAAAAATACAAAATACAATATATATATATATATATATATATATATGTAGGCCCTACCCAGTATTAGTACAGTGTTTTTAATTAAGTGCTTGATGAGTGTGTATTCGCGATCTGTGAACATGTACATTGATCTTGTTCAGCATATATTGTTACACCCATCACCCACTGGTCAGAATGCAAACTTTGCAGGCCATTTTGCATATGTGCTATTTTTATGTTTGTTGCCCACAACAGTGCTCACTCTCTTACTGCTTTCATTTCTTCTTTGTTACTGTGTTTTCTGAGTGTTTGTTTTCTCCCTAAATGAGTTTGTTGCCATTGCCTTTTTTATCATGACTATTGTTTTGTGAAAGCTTCTTGTGAAAAATCTGTCTGCATTTTTTGTTATTCTCTTCATGTTTGTGCTGTGTTAATCAATTGCATGTTTTTTCTTTGTTTTGTATTTTTTTGACTTTTGTCGTTTTTTAGTTGTTGACATATTTTGAAAATGTCTGTTGTCCTTTACATTGTGTGTGAATTTCATGATGAATGGACCAAAAGAACCATCCCAAAATCACTTGTAAAAAACTCTGGTTCTGTTGACTTACATTAAAAGTAAAGTATGTTTTTTCCTTCTCCTGTAAAGTTTTTGGAGATACAAGGTTTTCTTCCAACAACAGCAGTACATTTTTGCATTTTATTTTCTTTTTAAAGGACACAGAGACGCCCCTGCAGTTTGCAAAGTGTGGCCCTGTAGCTTGCAGTGCAGGGCATGTTATACACAGCTGCTCTGGACTGTGGCGTGTGTGGCCAGGTATCACCTGAGGACCGCTGAAATGTGAAATTCCTGTTGGGCATTTGATCCCTGAGGGTGCTAAGCCGCCTGTCCCAGGCTTAGGCCTCAGCTCAGCCCTGGCCCAAGCTGCGGACTCCAGATGGCCAAGGGAGGCGCAGTGGAGGTGAGGAAAGAGTCCTGCGCTGTGACACAGGTGGGGAAAGGCCTGCACGCACCCACAGGACAGCAGGCCTGACCCCCCGGCAAACCCCCCCACCCCAACCCCTCTGTCATCTGTCCACGAGTTCAGAGGGAGACTGTACCTGCCCCTTTGCACAGGCACAGTGCCATATAGGTGCTGTCTTCACCATAAGGGAACATGTTCACATGGGTCTGGGTCTGTATATGCACACATGTTTGTGTACACCCACAGATGCTCATAGGAACTGATCTTACAGCAACAGTCCACACAGTTTTCCCCTTCTAGTCAGTCAAGACATGTTTGGTGGTCCATGTTTTTCAGCTAAAGTACTAACAAGTAATGGCATTGTGGCATCTTCCTAAATCATTACACACTTGCCTAAATCTGAAGCAATTAGTTAAGTAATCTCAAACGGACCTGTTACTGTGATTTGTGACACTGTATAATGTACTTTTTTCCAAGTATGACAAAAGTTTTTTACATCACATAGCCGAAAACAGCAGAAGCAGCAGCTTAAAGCCTACTCAAATACCACTGATACAGCTCCACACTCAAAATCAATGACATTCTTTCATATCACAATATCTCTGAATTACTCACATTTTTACAGGTTTTTATTTAATGATTGAAACGCTGTAGCAATTTGCAGGTCAACACATACTTCTAACTACGTATTTTTATTTTTTTTCCTTCACCCTCTGTCACTCTGGGGCCGCATTAGCCACTTGAATGCGGCTAGGTGAACCAGAACGGACAGCTCTGGCCTTATGTTTCCCCATCTGAAAAACGAAAGCTGTCCTGCACACCTTTA